CTTTTTTACCTGTGGATCATTTTTCCTTTCTCCATTTTACGTTTTAAAATCTTTCTAGTAATTTTATGAAAAATTGAATCACACTGCCATAAAAAAGGAGGAGCCCAATTTAGATGAAAATTGAGATATAATATCTATGTGTTTAGTCTTTGTTTGGATCCTGATGCAAATACAGCAATTTAAAAATATGTATTTTGAGATAATTGAGGAAATTAGATGAAACTAAGAAATAATATTGTTAGGGTCTGATAATGGCAAAGTGGTTATGTTAAAAAAAATACAGCTTTTAGAGATGGCAGTTAAGCATGTAGAGGTAAAATATGATGTTGGGGACTTAAAAGGCTTCAGCAAAGAAAATAAAAGAAGGAATGGATAACATAAATGTGACAAAATAGTGATCCTGCGACATGCGAAGGATATGCACCATTTTAACAAATATTTACAATCTGCATTGGAACAAGTTGACCTGATTGACACCTGCACCGGACCATGTCTGAACCTTCTGATTACACCAGCCCCATGGACATTACTCTTTCCAGGGTGAATTAACGTGACAAAGTAAAATGCTATATCATTGCACTTTCCATTAGCACTTTTTACATGAACAATTTTTTTATTTGCTATTTTACTTTGTGTGAGAAAAGCCTGCTTATAATCCTTCCCATGAAAAAATAAAAGTATTTCTATTTTCCTAAGTTTTTATTTATTGGTAAGATGTATTTATGTAGTACATTTCTGTCAACATGTGACACTGACTTTCCCAGTTGATCGTATTTTTTTTCCCAACTTGTTTTGCGAACAAATCAATATTTTACGTTTTCTGGCTTTGCTGTAATGGTAAGAAACTTTCCCCAAGTCTTCAGGATTATATAGTGTGTTTCCTTATTCCTTCAGATATTTTTTATGGTTTCACTTGTTGCATTTACATTTTTAATTCACCTGGAATGTACTTATGTTCTAGGCCAGTGTCTGGCCCCGCTCCCAGAAGACAACTATCAAGTGTTGCCTGGCAACCTCCACTTGGGTTGGAGTTTGGCTTCCGGTGGTTGGGGGTGGGGCGTGGAAAAACGAAACAGCTGCAAAGCCTTCCGAGTTGACGGCAACCTTAAAGCGTTGCCAAATCACCCCCATCTCCCTGCTCCAGAAGGAACTTCACTGAAAACCTGTGTTAGGAAAAAAAAAAGGACAGCGTGAGCGTTGCATAGCAACTAGGTCTTCACCTCTTCCTTTGAGACTAGAGTCGGAACTAGAGTCCCGCTCAAAGATGACGGCCGACGGTGCCGCTTTCAATATATTCCGCTCTCAACAGTCCTACCAATGATTCATTCTTTCACATCAGGCCCCAGAGGCGTTTGCTATGCCCTTTCTGAGTCTTACACCCGGAGGCTGAGAACGAAGGAGGTAATAGAACCAACGCGCCCGGGGTGCCCCGCACTAAGGCAGCGTGCGCGTCCCCAGCGGCGCACGGCCTTCCGGCGCGGGTGCACGCGCAGCGCAGGCGCACGGCTTTTCGGAGCGGGTGCACGCGCAGCGCAGGCGCACGGCCTTCTGGCGCGGGTGCACGCGCAGCGCAGGCGCACGGCCTTCCGGCACGGGTGCACGAGCAGCGCAGGCGCACGGCCTTCCGGCACGGGTGCACGCGCTGCGTAGACGGGCAGCGTTTCAGTGCGAGTGCACGCGCAGCGCAGGCGCACAGCCTTCAGGCGCGGGTGCACGTGCAGCGCAGGCGCACAGCCTTCAGGCGCGGGTGCACGTGCAGCGCAGGCGCACAGCCTTCAGGCGCGGGTGCACGCGCAGCGCAGGCGCACTTCCGCTCAGCTCGCGGAGGCTTCTGCCGCGGTGGCGACTAGCTCGCGGGGCATGGTCCCCGGGTCCGAGGGCCCGGCTCGCGCCGGGGGCCTGGTAGCTGACGTGGTGTTTGTGATTGAGGGCACCGCCAACCTGGGGCCCTACTTCGAGGGCTCCGCAAGCACTACCTGCTCCCGGCCATCGAGTGAGTCCCATTTCCACAACTCCAGCCCCGCCCTCCGACTTTCGTTTTTCGTAGCCTCATGCCTGACCCCGAACTTTTCATCTCCGACCCTCACAGGTATTTTAATGGTGGTCCTCCCGCCGAGACGGACTTCGGGGGAGACGTGAGTCCTGGACTCCTGGGTCTGAGGGAGGAGGGGCTGGGGGCATGGACTCCTGGGTCTGAGGGAGGAGGAGCTGGGGGCATGGACTCCTGGGTCTGAGGGAGGAGGGGCTGGGGGCCTGGGCTCCTGGGTCTGAGGGAGGAGGGGCTGGGGGCCTGGACCTCTGGGTCTGAGGGAGGAGGGGCTGGGGGCCTGGGCTCCTGGGTCTGAGGGAGGAGGGGCTGGGGGCCACTACTTGCTCTCTGAGATCTTAGCTGAGCTCCCTGCCCCCCTCCCAGTATGGGGGGACCCAGTACAGCCTCGTGGTGTTCAACACGGTGGACTGCGCTCCCGAGTCCTACGTACAGTGTCACGCTCCCACCAGCAGCGCCTATGAGTTCGTCACCTGGCTCGATGGCATTAAGTGAGCTTTCCCCTGTGCTTGGGGTGGGGTGGGGGGCCCTGTGAGGGGCCGTGGACGGATGGAGGCTGGGGTCACCATCCGTGGCTGAAAGGCCAGGGGTGGGGAGCGGGGGAGCGGGGGATTGTGTTTTTGTTCATAAGTCACTTCTGTGATGGGTTCTGTGTGCTCTGCGGTGCTGCCATTGGGGTGGGAAGTAGAAACGCCTGCTCCAGGCGGCCTTGAGCTCAGTACCCCCTTGGTCCTCCATGCGTGATTCTCCACTTTCTGTCCGCGGTTCCTCACCTCTACTCCAGTCCTTTTCCAGGGCTCACTGACGCCTGAGGGCAGGGGACGGGGCAGGGGACCCGGCCTGGACCGATCCCTCTGTGCTTTGCACGGAATTTCCTTAGTTAACGTTGCAGACTCTTGCAGGTGCACACAGCCTGGAGCCAGATCACAGCAGTCCCAGACCCAGGGCCCCCTGTCCTCTCTGTGCCTCATACAACTTATCCTTCAGGGGGGGGCGTGTGCTAATAAGACAGACGGTTCCTGACTTAAGATTTTTCCACTTTGTGATGGTGCACAAGCGATAGGCATTCAATGCAAACCGGCCAGGTAAAGCTCTACGTCCGGGAGGTTAAATGCATTTTGTTTTTTGTTGTTTTTAAATATATTTTTATTGACTTTTTTTTACAGAGAGGAAGGGAGAGGGATAGAGAGTTAGAAACATCCATGAGAGAGAAACATCCATCAGCTGCCTCCTGCACACCCCCTACTGGGGATGTGCCCGCAACCAAGGTATATATGCCCTTGACCGGAATCGAACCCAGGACCCTTCAGTCCGCAGGCCCACGCTCTATCCACTGAGCCAAACCGGTTAGGGCGGTTAAATTCATTTTAAACTTGTGATATTTTCAGCTGAGGATGGGTTTCCTTGGGTGTACGTTCAGGAGCATCTGTACTTGTATTCGTTAGTTGTCGTATTGCTTATCCGTTGATGCGTAAGAGGTTACCCCAAGACTCAGTGGCTTAAAAACAAGCATGTATTATCTCATGCGGTTTCTGTAAGGCATTCACGAGTAGCTTAGCTGGAGAGCTCTTGCTCAGGATCTCTCTCACGAAGGTGCAGTCACCAGAGGTTTGATTGGTTCTCAGAGGATCGTTTCCCGGGTGGCTCCTGCTGTGACTGGAGGCTGGAGGGCCCACCGCCTTCCTGGCTGTTCGCCACCAGGGCTCCCGTCGGGGCTGCGTGAGTGTCCGCCCAACATGGCCGCTGGCTTTCCTCAAACCGAGCCATCCACCAGAAGGAGCAAAGAGGAAGCCACAGGCTTTTTAAAATCAAGTCTTGGAAGTCATACATCCTCACTTCTGCCGCATTCTGTTCGATGCACAGTCAGCTGTAGTCAGTGTTTGAGGGGTGGGCATACTAAGGGGTGAGGAGCAGGAGGTGGAGGTCACCGGGGGCCTGGCTGCATGCCTTCATAGGGGTGCATTGGGGAGGAGATGAGTGGGTGTTTTACAGAGAGGAAGGGAGAGGGATAGAGAGTTAGAAACATCCATGAGAGAGAAACATCGATCAGCTGCCTCCTGCACACTCCCTACTGGGTACCAAGGTACATGCCCTTGACCGAAATGGAACCCGGGACCCTTGAGTCCGCAGGCCGATGCTCCATCCACTGAGCCAAACCGGTTAGGGCAGGAGTGGGTGATTTAAATCAGTGCCTGGCATGGATTCAGTGCTACCTGAGTGTTTGCTGTTACTTTGTGTCTCAGTTTCTTGGTTTGCAAATGGATGGCGGTAGTTGGTATCCCAGTATTGTTGGGAGGATCACAGGAGCTAGTCTTTGTCCTGCGTGAAGCTCAGGTCTGGTCTGTGGTCAGAGCCCTTGAAACAGCATCCTTTCATTACGTTCCTTCAGCAAATGTTTGCTTTGTTCCGGGCCGTGTGCTGGACTGGGCGCCGAAGGTTCAGTGGGCAGGTGACGCCTGCTTTTCCCTCACGGCCGTTAGAGTTCGTGGTCAGGGGCGAGCAGGGTTTCTCCGCCTCTGCGCTGTTGGTGCAGATCCTTGGCCTCTACCCACCAAGTGTCAGCAGCCACTTCCCTCCAAATTGTGACAAACCAGAATGTCTTCAGACACTGTCAAACGTCCCTGCGGGTAAAACCGACCCCGGTTGGGAACAGCTGGGATAGACTGTGGTTGATAAGACATGAACCGTGTTAAGTGGGGTTTCTTGGGGCCTGAGTCCAAGTCTGATGTCCCTCAATTCCTAGCACCCAGCACAGGAGGCCTGGCGCAAAGGGGGCTGGAGGAAAGCCTGATTGAACAAGTGGGTGAATGAACTAATGCCCACAGTGCACTTCATACCCTGACTCTCCCTGGCAAACTGTATAGGCTTCCAGACCCACCTTCAGTGCCCGCCCCTGATTCAGACGAGCAGCCAGTTGCTCCCTCTTTTGCCCCCATGACTTCAAGGTGCTCACTTGTCACAGCCCCACACCCATCTTTGGGTTGTGCATGTCCAGGACCCTGGGTGTTGGCTTCCCGCTGGGGCCTGGCACCCAAGAGGGGGCAGGAAACCGCGGCTGAATAAATGAATGAGTGAAAGCTATAGGGAGGGTAATCACCACAAACCAAGTCTTCCGATGGGGGTTTAAGTATCAGGAAAAGCAGTCAAACCCCCTGAATTAAAAACTTCAAGGGCACTAGGAAGCTAAGAGAGAAATGCTTTCTTTATATATAAGTAGACATTTTTTATCGATTGATTTTTTATTTTTAAAGCTTTATTTATTGATTGACTTTAGAGAGAGAGGAAGGGAGAGAGACAGACACACTGATGTGTTGTTCCACTTTTTTTAAAAAATGTTTTTATTGATTTCAGAGAGGAAAGGGAGAGGGAGAGAGAGATAGAAACATCAGTGATGAGAGAGAATCAATGATTGTCTGCCTCCTGCACGCCCCGCTACTGGGAATCAAGCCTGCAACCCAGGCATGTGCCCTTGACTGGAATCGAACCCAGGACCCTTCAGTCCGCAGGCCGATGCTCTATCCACTGAGCCAAAACCAGCTAGGGCTGTTCCACTTTATTTATGCATTCATTGGTTGGTTCTTGTATGTGCTCTGACTACGGCTCGAATCCACACCTTGGCATATGGGGATGATTCTCTGACCACCTGAGCTACTAGGCCAGGCCCGGGAAGTGCTTTCTGAATACCTTCATCACATAGCCACCTTCCCGTTCATCAGCTTAGAGTACACTGTGTCTTTAAGCAACTGAGAATGCTTTGTGTGCTGTATGCGCCCTGCGGAACCCTCCCAATCGGTTGATAAACATTTTAAGCTATTGTTTTACATTCACTGTCGTCATTGTTTTTATCAGTCCTGTGTAACCATCTGCATTCAGTTTCTGAGGTGTTCCAGGCAGGTCTGTCACAGATCACAGAGAGTCAGCAAGTTTTGTTCGCACTTGGGGAAATCTTATCTTCTGCGGGAGTGTGGGGAACTTCGGGAACAAAGCATGCAGTGTGACTTTTGAATCGGCCTTGGTTTGGGAAGGTGCATTTCTGATGTTACATCCTGTCTTACAAAAGAGGCGGTTTTCCCCTCCTACAGCTTGTGACTCAGGTCAGAAAGGAGAAGTTAGAAGGAAAAGAGCCCTTGGAGTCTCGCCCGTGGCACTGTGACAGTCATTCGTTCATTCATTCGTTCAACAGACATTTGTAGAGCAAACTGTCCTAGGCACTGAGGAGTCAGGCACATAAGACGGGCAAGTCCCGACCCATTGGGCGGGGGACCTGGCTCGCAGGGAGCCCTCAGTCAGGGCTGGCTGCTGATCACACTCATTCATTGGGCCTGCACCTCGGGGGCCTCCAGGGACCTGCTAGCTGGTGAAAGTGGGCAATGCAGGTTTTGAGGTTATGACATCGGGCTGGACAAATGGGGCAAGTGAGCACCCAGAGTACTTTCAGTTTGTTTTCTATTTACTTTGTGTCTGTGTCGGCGGGGTTATTTGGAGCTAAAGTGTATCATAAATTTTATATTTATTTATTTATTTTTAACATTTTTGTTAATTTCAGAGAGGAAGGGGGAGGGAGGGAGAGAGAGAGAGAGAAACATCAATGATGAGAGAGAATCATTGATCGGCTGCCTCCTGCACACCCCCTACCTGGGGATTGAGCCCACAACCTGGGCATGTGCCCTGACCAGGAGTCGAACCGTGACCTCCTGGTTCATTGGTCGACGCTCAATCACTGAGCCACGCTGGCTGGGCTTTTTTTTTTTTCTTTTCCCCACTGATTTCAGAGAGGGAGAGGAATGGAAACATCAGTGATGAGAGAGAATCCTTGATCTGTTGCCTCCTGCAACCCAGGCATGTGCCCTGATGGAGAATTGAACTGTGACCTCCTGGTTCATAGATGGAATAGAGACTCAACCACTGAGCCACGCTGGCTGGGCAACTTTATGATATTTAAAACATTTTACGCCCTGACCGTTTGGCTCAGTGGATAGAGCGTCGGCCTGCCGACTGAAGGGTCCCAGGTTCGATTCTGGTCAAGGGCATGTACCTTGGTTGCGGGCACATCCCCAGTGGGGTGTGCAGGAGGCAGCTGATCGATGTTTCTAACTCTCTATCCCTCTTCCTTCCTCTCTGTAAAAAATCAATAAAATATATTTAAAATAAAACATTCTACAACTGACCATATTTTTTCCTTGCTCCCCATTTTCAAGTTGTTCTCGTGTTTTGGGCAGAATATTTGTTACATATCTTCCTCTGAGTTGGTAACAGATTGCTCATGGTCAGTGTTCAGTAAGGAACAACTTTTAGGATCTCAAAGTGGTCTGTTGGTTACACGTTCCCTCATAAATTGCATTTTTAAATTGAGCTGAACTTTACATAGCAAAAGTAATCATTTAGAAGTGAACAGCTCAGCTTGGCTGGTGTCCAATGGTGTCTGAGACCCTGTTCCTCCTCGGGCACATCCTAGTGATGGCTCCGTCCAATTGGTCTCCTTCCCTGACCTGCCGGAACCAAGTACTAAAAACTGGGTGGCTCAGAACAGCGGGACTGTGGTGTCTCAGGTCAGGATCCAGGAGTCCGAGCTCAGGGCTGGGCCGGGCCTGGTGCTCTCCGGAGCCTTCCTGTCTCTTCCAGCTTCTGGTCACCCCAGACGTTTCTCGCTTGGTGGCAGTGTCACCCCAGTCTCCACATGGTGTTCTCCCTGTGTCTCTACGTCACCTTTTCCTCTAAGCGTGTCTGTCTGTGTCCCAGTTCCCCCTGTTTATACGACACGGGTCATACTGGATGCGGGCCCTCCGCAGTGTGGCCTGAGCGCCTCTGTGAAGGTCCTGCTTTCCGATAACACGCATTCTGAGGTCCTGGGTGAGGACCTCAACGTGTCTCTTCCTGGGACACAGTTCAGCCCATAGCACTGGGAGCAGAGGGCCTCTGTACCAGGCTGGGACGGCGAGGCTGGGGCTGGCTTTAAAGATGGAGAGATGGCCCCGAGGCGGGAGGCGCACAGGGATTGGGGTCCCAGGCCCTTTCCCTGGTCCCTCCTCTGATGGGGCCTCTTCCGAGAGAGACTCCCTCGCCGGAGATGACAAATGTCCCCTGTCCCCTGGCCTGGCACTGTGCCAGCCCCGGGGATAGAGCAGGGAATTCAACAGGGTCCCCATCCCAAGGCGCACAGTCCTGTGCTGGGTAGGGGAGGGCGCGGGCGCAGGTTCTTCAAGTGTGGCCTGGGGGCTGGGAGGTGCCGCAGGGACCCTGAGGACTGACAGCCTGGCCTCGTGCAGGTTCATGGGCGGGGGTGGCGAGAGCTGCAGCCTCATCGCGGAAGGCCTCAGCACGGCCCTGCAGCTGTTCGATGACTTCAAGAAGATGCGAGAGCAGATGTGAGTGCGCCCGGTGCGGGGTCCCGTGTCCCGTGTTGGTCTCTGTCCACTTGGCTCAGAACCCGCTTTGCCTGTCGCAGGACTCCACCCCCGTCTCACATTGGGGAGTTAGGGCTGGGAATCCGGAAGTGGCCCCTGGCTGGTGCCTCATCAGGAAGGGGTGTCGGACTCCTGTCTCCCCTGTGCGCTGTCCGACTTGGGGTCAGTCAGGAACCTCAGGGCCTCAGTGTTCTCAGCTGTAAAATGGGGCCATTCCTCCTGGCTTCCTGTGGGCGGAGTCCTTGTACCTCTGCTGTGCTGGGTCTGGGTCCCTTTTCAGGGCCTTGTTGCCACCTGCTCCACATCTGTCCTTGTTCTTGGCAGTGGCCAGACTCACCGCGTCTGCCTCCTCATCTGTAATTCGCCCCCGTACCTGCTGCCCGCTGTTGAGAGCACCACATACTCCGGGTGCACAACGGAAAGTCTCGTGCAGAAGATTGGGGAGGTGAGGACGCCCGGGTGTGGGGAGAGGGGCTGGGGCTGGACTTTTGGGTCACAGAATCCCCTGGGGCAGCTAATTTAGGTCTCGAGGTCCCTTGTCCCAAAGCCTGATGGGAATTTGGTTTTAGGGTCCACGCCGTCCAGCCACCTAGCAGGTGTGTGTAGTAGCCGGGGGGCTGGCCCCTGTGGCCCAGTCCTTACTGCTCGTCCCCTCTCCTGCAGCGAGGGATCCACTTCTCCATCGTGTCCCCTCGGAAGCTGCCGGCCCTGCGGCTTCTGTTCGAAAAGGCAGCCCCCCCGGCCATGCTGGAGCCACTGCAGCCGCCAGCAGACGTGAGCCAGGACCCACGGCACATGGTGCTGGTGCGGGGACTCGTGCTGCCCGGTGAGGCCCGCTCGCCGCTAGGGGGTGGGGGTGTTCTCGCCGGCTGACTCCCTCTGACTTGGATTTCCTTTCCCTCTCCAACCACTTCTCATGGGGCTCCGTTGCCCGTCCTCCATTGTCCATCCTCGGCTCTCAGTCGGGGGTGGCTCGGCCCCAGGCCCCCTCCAGCCAAAGCAGCCTGTCTCCCTGCCTCCAGCTCCATCCTCGAGTGCCGCGCTCTCGGCAGCCCCCCAGCAGTCTCTGCCCTCCGTCCCCCAGCAGTACCAGGTATGGGCATTCCAGGAAGGGACATGCTCTGGGGCCTTGTGGGAGCCCTGCCCCTGGGAAGAGGCCTGGTTGGATGCTGGCATGTGGGGAGTGATGGGGGTTTCCCTAGAGACATGCAGAGGGTGGGACTCTGGGGGGCCGAGGAATCATGTCCCTGTGGGGCGATGGGAGTCATGAGCTCCTGTGATACTGGAGTCGGGGTGCCTGTGCCTTGTGGGGGGGTGGCCCCATGTGACACCAGGACTGGGGTGCATGGTCCTCATCAGCCCCTCCCCTCTATTTCCAGGTTCCCGGGAACCTGAGCGCAGCTCAGGTGGCTGCTCAGAATGCAGTGGAGGCTGCCAAGAACCAGAAGGCTGGGCTGGGCCCGCGCTGTGAGTCCAGGGGCGACAGTACAGGGCAGGGGCGGGGGAGGGGGGCAGCCAGACCTCTCCCAGGGCACCTGCCCCACCTCTCCCCTTGGTCTCTCGCAGTCTCGCCCATCAAACCCTCTGCAGCAGGCGCTCCAGGAGTGGTCCCCCCTTCAGCCAAGCCCAGGCCCCTGCGCTGCCACAGGGCCCCCCTGGCGCCCCCAAGCCCGTCTCCCCACTTCCCAGCCCAACCTGGTCTCCACGGTGGCTCCCTGTTCAGGGCCTGGCCCCCACTGCGCAGCCCGGGGCCCCCGTCCATGGTAGGTGTCCGTATGCCTCCCACTTGCTGCCGCTGCCCCACTCCCCCCATCTGCCCCAGGCTAGCACAGTGCAGAGGACAAGCAATTTGCTTGCTGAGGAGGGCCCAAGGGTGTGGGTGTGGTTCCTGGTGGATGAAGATGATTCTGACGATCCCACGGGCTCCTGTTCTGAGTCCTGGAATCTTCCAGGATCAGTGTTTATATCTGAGGGATGGCCACGGGGATGCAGAGGAAGAGGCCTTCGTCCTGTTCTTGCTGGCCTGTCTCTCTCAGGACAGTCCCTCCCAGGAGCTGGTCTGACCCCCTCCCCACCCTCCTTTCTGTCCTCCAGCAGGCGGGCACGGTTGCCCCAGGTGGGGTGAATGGCCCTTCCCCAGCTCAGCTCGGGGCCTCGGCCCTTGGGGGGCAGCAGTCCGTCTCCAACAAGCTCCTGGCCTGGAGCGGGGTCCTGGAGTGGCAGGAGGTGAGTTGGCTTGAGGAGTCCTGGGCAGGTGGCTCAGGGCCGGGCCTGGCGGGGTGCAGGGTGCGACCAGGGCCGCCACAGGGTCATGGGCTTGTGGTCCCAGGTAGTCAGTCCCCAGGACGCCCAGGTTGGGACTAAGGAGGTGGGAGGAATTGTATTGCAGGTGAAGAACCGAGGCGTCTCAGATTCTGGGTACAGACGGACCCAGGGGGTTGTAGCATGAAGGAGACAGAGGGTTGTGGGATTTGGGGGCAAGAGGAGGAGCTCAACATTTGTGGAAAGACTAGAGAATTGTGGGATTGATGGTACTAAGGAGGGGCCCAGGGTTCTTAGGACTGAAACCTGGGGAGATCCGGAGCTTTGGGGCTCCCAGAGTTGGGCAGGAGGGGGTGAGGGGACTGAGACTTGGGCCCCTCTGGCTGTGATATGCCTCTTTCCCCCTCAGAAACCCAAACCTGCCTCCGTGGACGCCAACACCAAGCTGACGCGGTCACTGCCTTGCCAGGTCTACGTCAATCAAGGAGAGAACCTGTAGGTGACTGTCGGGGGGTGGGGCGGGCTGGGATTTGCATCCTCCTGACACCTCTCTTCGCGTCGCCCCAGGAAAACGGAGCAGTGGCCCCAGAAACTGATCATGCAGCTCATCCCCCCAGCAACTGCTGGTGAGTGGCAGGCGGGAGCAGCCCCAACCCCTGCCCATTCTCTCTCCCCTCATCCCTCCCCTCTCCCCTCATCCCTCTCCTGCCCCTTCCACCTGTGCTCCCCTCCTCACTTCCCCACTCAACACGCTGTGTCTCCCCAGACCACACTGGGCCCTTTGTTCCGGAACTCAAGGATGGTCCAGTTCCATTTCACCAACAAGGACCTGGAGTCGCTCAAAGGCCTCTACCGCATCATGGGCAACGGCTTTGTGAGTCCTGGGCCGGGGGGGGACCAGGGTGCTGACTCTGTTCTGGTCGGTGGGCTTTGTGAGCTTGGCCCTCTCAGCCTCCTTCCAGAGCCTTCGCTCGCGTTGTAACTATAACATGTGCCCGGTGGGATTCCACTCCCTGGTGAGATGTGGCAGGAGCAATCCGGAAGAAGGTGGCTCTGACAGAGGTTTGCTGGGTGTATTGGTTTCCTGGGGCTGAGAGCAACAGAACTTTGTTCTCACAGTTGGGGAAACCAGCATCCGAAATCCGGGTCAGCAGGGCAGGACCCCTCATGGCCTCTTGCAGCAGGCAGCCCAGGCGTTGGCTTCAGGCAGTACAAGTCCAGTCTCTGCCTCCATCTTCGCATGGCCGTCCTCTCACTGCGTCTGTGCCCGTGTCTGCGCGTGGCATTCTCCTCCCTGTGTGTGTCCTGCTTGCTTTCTTTTTTTTTTATAGCAAAGGGTGGACATTTATCGAGAAACAAGCACAGACTCCCACGAAGGGAGGGGGAAGAGCCCCCTGTCCTGCTTTCTTATACAGACACCAGTCACTGGACTAAGGCCCACTCTAATGACTTCATTTTAACCCGTTACATCTGCAAGGACCTTATTTCCAAATAAGGTCACATGTATTTTTGGAGGACAGTTCAACCTACACCCCCGAGGGAGGTCTCCCTACATAGGAGCAGGTCCAATGTTGAGTCCGTCCCGTGGACCCAGCCCTTCCCCAGGAGAGGGACCTTTTGGTGGCTTACCTCATGGAATCCTCGGGAACATTCTGCAAAGAAGGCGATCCTCAGCGTCAGGAATGCTGCCAGCTCCAAATAACGTAAACCCAACCAGCAGAGTTTTTAGAACAAACAGATGATAGGGATGGGGGCCTAAAACCATTTTCTCTCTCATGGTTCTCTGGGTAGACTGGGCTCAGCGGGGCTAGTCTCGCTTGGGAACTTTTGTGGGGTTGTCATCAGATGATGGCTGAGGCTAGTCACCTGTCTGAAAGCTCGAATGGGCTAGAGCAGTGATGGCGAACCTATGACACGCGTGTCAGAGGGGACACGTGAACTCATTTTTTTGGTTGATTTTTCTTTGTTAAATGGCATTTAAATATATAAAATAAATATCAAAAATATAAATCTTTGTTTTACTATGGTGGCAAATATCAAAAAATTTCTATATGTGACACGGCACCAGAGTTAAGTTAGGGTTTTTCAAAATGCTGACACGCCGAGCTCAAAAGGTTCGCCATCACTGGCCTAGAGGCTCAAGGTTCACTCACATGGTACAGGCTGTCGGCTCGGGGCTCAGCCCAGCCCTCAGAGTGCCCACCCGGGGCCTCTGCATGACTTGGGCTTCCTCACAGCGTGGCAGCCGGCTTCTGAGAAGGCCGTCCCCAGGGCGAGCTGTGCCAGCAGGCATTTGTTCCTGACACAGCAGGACGTCCAGAGGCAGGCAGCCGTTGGAGTGAGTTTTGCTGCCCCAGGATGTCAGGGCCAAGATTCTGTTGGCTTCTCTCTTACGGTCACAAGGTGGTCCTGAAGCTCCAGGCATCTTGCGTGACTTGATGCAGGAAGGCAAGAAGGAAGTGTGGCATCCGTCCTGTATCCCTGTCTCTTCTGGAAAGCAGACACTTCCCCACACCCCCAAGCAGGCTTCATCTCTGGGGCAGATGCAGGGCTCCGGGGCCTAGACACGCTGCTGCCCCAGGCAGAAGGGCGGGGAGGGCAGCTCCAGGATCTGCCTCAGATGAGAAACCAAAGCTCAGAGGTAAACTCACTTGGCCAAGGTCCCAGAGGTGGCTCTTCAACCTCGTCAGCCCCACCGCCCTCAGGAGCCCCTGTTCTGAGCTTCCGTGTATTATGGTCTCACTTCACGTTCGATAACGTTTTCTCGGCACATCCTGTGTGTCCAGCTGTGGCCAGGATGCCTGGTGTGCATGGTGTGGTGCTAGTGCTGCCGTCTTCCGTTCTCTCTGGCAGAGGCTGCGGCCAGGAAGGGTGTGGCCATCCCCTAAGGGTGTTGCATCCCATGGGTCCGATGCTTCAGGTGCCTGCTCTGTGTTGAAGCCCCTCCTCAGCCGTGAGCCCTCCCAGCAGCCTCACAAGGTGGAGGTGGGGGTCAAGGTTGCAGAGCGGGACCCAGCCCCATGTTTGGGCCTGGCCCTGGCCTTCGGGGCTCTCCGCGCTCCTTTAAGCAACTCAGTTTGTTTCTGGAGCAACTTTAAGCAATGCTCCAGTCTCCTCAGCCTTTCCCAGCAGAAACCTCGCCTCTCCTCGATGGGCTTCTAGGACCTTCTAGAACCGGGAGGGTGGGATACCTCCTCCTGCAGGGTGTGAATTTCTGGTTCTCTCCCCCCAGGCCGGCTGCGTGCACTTCCCCCACACGGCCCCCTGTGAGGTGCGCGTGCTCATGCTCCTGTACTCGTCCAAGAAGAAGATTTTCATGGGCCTCATCCCCTACGACCAGAGCGGCTTCGTCAACGGCATCCGCCAGGTCATCACCAACCACAAGCAGGTGCAGCAGCAGAAGCTGGAGCAGCAGCGCGGGGTGAGTGATGCCGGTCCCTGTCCCATTCCCCCCCTCCTAGTGCCTGCCCACCTGGGCCCCAGAACTCATGGCCAACCCCCCAGGGGCTCTAATACCAGCCACTTACTCCTCTCCCAAGACGCAGGCATCCAGGTGCGGTCCCATCCCCACATTTCTTTGCGACCTTTCTCTCCCTTTTCAGTGACCTCATGGAATCTCCAAGACACAGGCCCCTCCTGGGGACCTGGGAACGTAAAGTTTCCTTCCCAGACCCTCACCTTCAAAGAAATGTCCCCAGCTCCTTAAAGGTTCCCCTTCCGGGCTCAGATCTCTGACGTGTGGAGTGATCCTCTCAGAGCCGCTCCACACGCACTCAGCGACCTGCTCCTTCTCTCCCTGTACAGATGGGGGCGCAGCAGGCACCGCCCGGGCTGGGCCCCATTCTGGAGGACCAGACCAGGCCCTCACCGAATCTGGTGAGGACAAAGCCAGCAGGGTCAGGGCCAGGGCTGTGGAGGCCGAGGGGTCTGGAGTCTCTTGCTCACCCGCATTTCTTCCCATTAGCTCCAGCTCCGCCCACCGCAGCCCCAGCCTCAGGGCACTGTGGGGGCCTCTGCAGCCGTAGGGCAGCCCCAGCCCCAGAGTGCTGCCCAGGCCCCCCCAGGCGCTGCCCAAGGCCCTCCCGGAGCAGCTCCTGGCCCGCTCCCTCCTGGACCTATCCTTCGGCCCCAGAACCCTGGGGCCAATCCCCAACTGCGGAGCCTCCTCCTTAACCCACCGCCGGTGAGATTTGGGGTGAAGGGGGCATCTGGGAACACGGGTGCTGGGCTCTGACAGTTCTAGACCTTTCATCTCGGAGGAGGGAGGTTGGCTTCATAATAGGTGTGAGCACCAGCCCACCAGCTCCTGTCTGTGTGTCTTCCCTGGGCTTCTGCTGAGATTTCTTTGAAGGAAGACCCCACACAGATGACTGGCTGAGACACGCTCTGAGCACTTTCTGTGCCAGAGGCTTTGTGGTTGGGCGGGGTCTCCTCACTGGGGCCTCTGAGCCGCATTTTTGTTCCCTCAGCCCCAGACGGGGGTGCCCCCACAGCAGGCTTCCCTTCACCACCTCCAGCCACCAGGGGCCCCTGCGCTGCTGCCCCCACCGCACCAGGGCCTGGGGCAGCCCCAGCTGGGACCCCCCCTCCTGCACCCGCCACCTGCCCAGTCCTGGCCTGCACAGCTTCCCCCGCGGGCTCCACTGCCAGGTAAGGAGGTCTGGGGGAGGCCAGGGTCTGGACTGAGTGTCCCAGCAGCCCCTGGGCTGGAGCCCTAACATTACCAAGAGCTCCTGGGAAGCAAAGTCCTGGAATTCAAGAAGAGTGCATCCCTGCTTGGCTTTTGGGGAGTTCTGAGGGTCAGGGGCCCAAAAACCTAGAGGGCAAGAGCTCTCCCCATGATCCCTCTCTTGCGTGTTCTCTGGGGTTTGCTGGGAAATGTAGGCTTAGGGCCAGAGAGATGTTTTGGGGGGTGGGCTTCCAAAGGCATACGGGAGACAGCACATTTCTGTCCAGATGGGGCCAGAAAGCGCCTCTGACGGGTCCCCCAGGGCTTTCTAGACAACTTAGTGCCTCGGACTAAGTTGAGGAGGAGGGAGAAAGTAGCCCCAGGGCCCTTCAGGGCCCCAGGGACGACTGGGAGATGCAGTCCCTTCCCCCCCGCCCCCCCCAGGTCAGATGCTGCTGAGCGGGGGTCCCCGGGGCCCGGTCCCCCAGCCGGGCCTGCAGCCCAGCGTCATGGAGGACGACATCCTCATGGATCTCATCTGAACCCCCAACACCCAATAAAGTTCCTTTTAACACATGCCCCGGCTCCCGTCACTGTCGTCCCCCAGGACTGGGCAGGAGGAGACCGGGGGGAGACATCTCTGTCCTTGTTCCTGCTGCAGCAGACATCCCGAGGCCCAGGCTGGTGACGCCTGGCCTTGGCAGTGAGTAGTCAGGCGGTCTGGTACAGCCTGGCTGGGGAGACGTGGAGGCAGGCAGGCACCAGGTGGGGGGCACTCAGGCTCCAAACGGAGCAGCTTGAGGTTTATCCTGGGGACACAAAGACCACAGAAGGCTACTAGGAGGGGATGGGCCTTGGTCTGCCAGGAGTCAGGAAAATGGGTAGGAGGCTGGGGACTGGTGTGCCATGTGAAGGAAGTTGGGGGTTTGGGGGCACTGAGGTGGGCCCCCAGGACCTGTCCTGGGTGCTGGTAGGTGGTGGGGCTTCTCTGAGTTAGGGGACTGGGGGAAGGAGCCGTCTAAGGTATGTTCAGGTGACAGCTGCCAGGGTGGGAGCTCATGATGTGTCCTTAGGAGATGTGTGTGTTTGGTGGTTGAAGGCACAGAGTGGACGAGATCACATGTGGAAAGAGGTCCCAGGCGGAGACCTACCTTCAGGGGCTTTGGATAGATGGGCAGTGGGGCTGTCCCTGGGGTGGAAACCCAGCAGGAAGCAGGTTCGGGATGTGGTGAGGCAAGGGACCTGAAGGGTGTCCTCAGAGACAAGTCCAGAGGCAGCTGGTAATAGGCCCAGGTGCGGGGCTTGTGGTGGTCTCCCTGGAGGCAGAGTCAGCTGTCTGTTGTCAAACTCTAGACCAGTGTTGCTCAGAGCGTGGTCCACTATGGACCACCAGCATCCACATTGTTTGGGACGCTGGTTAACATTAGATTCCTGGGCCCTGTCCCGGGAGAGAGGTTGCAATATGGTGGCCCATGGGCCACTCTACAGATGGGTTTTGTTTGGCCTTCCCTGTGTTAGCATACGTGGTATTTTTTCCTAAAGAGTTAGTTGTAAAAATCAGGATAATTCTTTCTCTCTCTCACACACACACAGACACACACACAAAATCTGTAGTCTTGGCTTCTCTTGACAAGTCAGGAGATCTGGCACCCCTGGCCTGCCCTGTTGCCTAGCAACAACGGGCTGGAGCTGCCCCTTTCGATGGGGCGTGTGCTCTCTAATTCGCCACAGTCCCCACCACTCCCTCTTGGCTCTCCCACCTTTGTCACTGGGTTTGCCCTGTAGTTGTCCCTGTGGTAGTGTGCAGAGGAAAGTGAAATCTTTCTTGTACCCATGTCTCTATCAAAAGTGTCACAACCAAAGAGAGAACGAGAGGGCCCCGTGTTTCGAAAAAAATGGGAGCGAGACTATTTCTTTGTGGAAGTGAAGAACATGCCTACGTGTTTAATATGCAAAAAAATCATGTCTGTGTTGAAAGAGTACAACCTGAAACGTCATTATGAATCAAAGCACAGTAAGAACTTCGACCAGTATACAGACCAGACACGAGATGCGATGCTCATTGAACTGAAAAAGGGCCTCAAGTGTCAGTAGGGTTTGGAAAGCCAGCCATAGAAATGCCGTGGCTGCCACATGCAGCCTCACAGTGATGTGAAGAGAATTACCTGGGCATTAAAACCTCCGACACACGGCGAGTTTATAAAGGAGCAGATGACATGTCCTGGACAGAAAACACATCTGTTTGGGCCATTATTTAAGTCGAACAGGCGTTTATTTGCATTTGTACGGTGTGTCGAAGAGAAATCAGAAGATTGACAAGTCCAGTTGCTCGAAAGAGTCAAATCTATTGTGGCCTTTTCTATTTCTGCGCATGAACTACTTCCACCCAGTTAGCTTTATTTATTTGTGAAGTTGAGAATTTTCATGTGACCGAAGAAGTCTGTGACATGGTGCCAGGGCAGGCCCAACACTGGGTAAAGGCTTATTTTTGTGTATTTGCAGAAATGAAAAGTTTTACGTAGACAGGTCCGAACTCCTAAGCACAGCCACAGACGGTGGTGGTAATGTAATGACCTATGTCACAGGGGAACTTGTCGGGACTCCACAGTCCAAGGTGGCAGCGTTTGGTGAGGACAGTCAGGTGATTGTATCAGTCACCTGGAACTGAACTGTGCAAAGGAAGTCAGTGGAGCACACCGCGGGCGCCCTTGATGCGCTTCTGTACGTTCATCACAGGCAGGTTGATGGTGAACGTGAGCCAGTGTATTCCACAGAAGCCCTGTGACCTGGTCGTCACGTGATGTGTGGAAGAAGGCAGAACTGTTGCGGCCAATCTGCTTGGTTCATTTCCGACGAGGCAAAAGCCACACCTTGGTTTCCCTGTGAACGTTGGTCAAAGACTTTGGGTCAAGGTTCTGACCCTCCTGAACACTTTTTCTGCGCAAGAACATTCACAAACAGCGACTTGAATGTATGATCATGTCTGCCCAGGCCTGGCAAAAACGGGAAGCCATAAGCAAGGAATATTCTGCCTCCGTTTCCTTTGCTGCAGTTGGTTTCCAGAAAAGAAAGACATGACCCGGACAGTATTTACCCAAATTGTGGGGTTAAAGACCGAATCCCCCGAAGGCTTTCTGCATCCAGACTCCGTGAGGATGGACTAACACTGTCAGGTTGCCTCTGCTGGGCGATGCCGGACAGAGTAGTTACGGAACCACAGTGCAATAGGGTGCTGGTCCCGGCGCCTGCCCCGCAGCTCTCCACTAGTCCTGAGTCTCCACGTGCGGAGGTCCCCACGGTTGTGAAAGGCGGTTTTCCGTTAGGAAACGGAATCAAATTAAACACCGCTCCCAGGATTCAAGGCTGACTTCTTTAGTGCCCATCCCACCGTGCCCCCCGGGCCTGATGCTTCCTTCTCGGTGCGGAAGGGGTGATGTCAGCCTTCTGGCTTCAACTCAAAGGAGCAAAAGAATTACAAAAGAGAAAATTTTAATAATTAGATCTATTTTTCAATTTGTATTTTTGCAACTCTGAATTTGAAATATAAAACTCCAGTACCAAACATGTTTGTATTATGTTCCATGCATTCACCATAGTTCAGTAAAGATGCAATTTGATTATATTTCTGGCCGTTGACTTTTCTTATACCTGGCTAGTTCACTCATTTATGTGGCCTGCCTGGCTCCTGTAGGCATTTGAGTTTCCGATCCCTGCCTACAGCTCTTGAGTCTGGGGGAGGGAGGGAGCAGGGAGGCTGGGGACTTCGGACAACTCCCTAGGACCGTGATTCCCACACCAACGAGATGTGGAGTCGGAGACACTGGTGTTAATCGACGAGGGAAAGTGGGCGTGGTTTCCCAGACAGTGTGTGTAGCAGGGGTTTCTGAAAACTCAGATGGCTTCACGGACCAGGCAGGTGATGGAAATGTGTGAAGCGGACGGGTGTAAGACGGTAGGGAATGATGGGGACTGTGGCGAACTTGGAGAGTGCTTGCCCCGCCCAAAGGCATTCAAATTAAAGACAAAACACACTGAGGACCAAACAAAAATCTGCTGGTGGGTCTGATGAGGCCGCCGGGCTGCCATTTGCGACCTCTGGAAGAAGGAGAAGACGTGAGGACGAGTGCAGAGCCCCGAGAAAGACCACGGGTGAGGGGCGGGCAGGGAGGGAGCCAGAAGGCAGGAGACGAGGCGAGTGTGTGCTGGAAGCTGGAGTGTTTCTGAAAAGAGAGGGATGGACTGTGTCCAGAGCGGCCAACAGGGGAAGACGGTGGAGGGCAGCCAGCGCTGTTTCCACTGGGGTGGAGGGTACCCTGCAGGGAAACACAGGTTTGGGTCCAGGACAAACGGAAGGAAAAGAAATGTTTCCAGCCGCTGGGTTGGTCGTCTCCAGCCAGGGAGGCCCTCTGGACCTCAACACCCAGTTAGATGAACCTACGGGACTGTCGGGCTCCCATCTCGGGGCCATATTCACAGGGCGAAGCAGGAAAAAGCCCAGGGTTAAGATGCCCAAAGAGCGGGGAGAGATCTAGACACAGAACCCCCTGCCCGTTTCACAGTCCAGGTAGAGACGTCAGGCGGACGTGCTTGGCGTGCCCGCTGGAGCCAGCCAGTGCCAACAGAGCACATCTTTTGGGGATGTTTTTCTCTGAGTGCCAGGTATCGGTAAAACTGTGTAAGTGTAGAAATTAGCAAAAACCTTAGAACAGGAAGGTGAACATTCCCGCCCCAGCACTGATTAGCTCTGTGGCTTTGGGCAGGTCCCTGTGCCTCTGTGAGCCTCAGTTTCCCCATCTGTCAAGAAGTGACTTCCCTCTAGGATTGGCCACCTGGCAGGCTCAGCACAGCCGCCCACCACAGAGAGCTGCTGTGGCCACTGTGGTCATCGCTGGCCCCAAACACTCAGACGGCAGGTGTGCTGGGCAAAGCTCGTCAGAATCACCCGAGTGTCCTTGGAGGTTGTAACTGGGTGAGTGACAGACTGGAAGGAAGCCTTTCTTTTTCTTTTTTATTTTTTTAAGAGAGAGAGACAGATATCGATTGGTTATTCCACTTCGTTATGCATTCATTAATTGATTCTTGCATGTGTTTGGGGATCAAACCCATACCCTTGGCATATCAGGACAATGCTCTTACCAACGGCTCCCCGGCCAGGGCCCAGAAACCTTTCATTTTGGACTAGTTTGCTCTTTGTCCATGTATCCAGAGCTGGAAGCAAGACTGAGAAATGGCCCTGGCTGCGTGGCTGGGAGCGTCGTCCCATGCACCGGAAGGCTGTGTGTTCAGTTCCCGGTCAGGGCACATGCGTAGGTTGCGCCTTTGACACCCCTCCCCTCCCCTGTCAGACTGTGTACAGGAGGCAACCAATCGATGTTTCTCACATCTGATTGGTTCCCCCCACCCCTCTCTCTCAAATTCTTAAAAATTGCCCAAGAAATGCATGAGACTTTGGTCCCAAAGGAGCAGATCTGGCAAAAGTGGCAGAACATAAATTGAAAAAAAATTTTAAGAGGCAAAAATGCTAAAACATCAACGCGTAGTTGTGAACCTGTCTTGGGTGAGAAAAATGCCCACATCTGCCTCTATAAAGAAAAATTTTTAGAAAAGAGATACCTTCTGAAAAGGTATATTTGTCTCAAGGTACACAGAACTCACTAATATAGGTTTTCCCACCATCTTGGGTTTTTAAAAAAATTAATATTAAAAATATATTGAGTTACACATATGTTCAGTTTCATAAAGATGAGAAGGCACCAAAGTGCGTAGAACAAAAACTGAAGGACCTTTCCTCCTACCCCTGCCCCAGACACATACCGAACAAGCCACTCTTCCCAGAGGCAGGTCCATCAGTTTGGCGTTAGGATTTACAAGTATGTGGTTGTAGACACGTTTTTAGTTTCTTACATGTTTTACATAAGTGAGTCAGTGTCTGTGTTGACCTTTATTTTGCTTTTGTTTTCCCAGTCGAGTAACGGCCAACCATTCGTGTCATTACATGTGACTCTTCTGTTTAAACGGTTGCCATTGGCCGTGCATTAGAGGGACACATTCCATTTCCACAAACCACCCGTCTGTGTGAGCTCTGTCGCTGTGTAACAGGCCCCACCACTCAGGGGCTGAAAACAACAGGTGTGGATAGTCTCACAGTTGCTCTGGGTCAGGGAGTCAGGCACAGCTTCACTGGGGCCTCTGGCTCAAGGTCTCTCTCAAGGTCGTAGTCAAAGCTCAGCTGGGGGAGGGCCCGCTTCCAAGCTCACGCCAGTGCGCTGGCGGGATTCACTTCTTCCCAGGAGACTGGTTTCGGGGCCTCGCTCCCTCTCTCGCCCTGTATCCTCTTCATGGGGCAGCTCACTTCCCCAGGTGGGAGGGCACCCCAGATGGAAGCTGCAGGCTTTTCGGGACCTAGTCTGGGAAATGCTAGGCCATCGCTTTTGCGGTATTTTGTTCATTACAAGTCACTAGGTCCAGCCCACGCTGAAGCTGAGAGGATTAAGGGTGTAATACCAGGAGGTGGGGACCATGGATCATCTTGGAGGCTGCTTGCCACACTGTGGCCAATTGGCTTGCTGTGCAGTTTTTCACTATTATAAAAAACTGGAGGCCTGGTGCATGAATTCGTGCACAGGTGGGGTCCGGCCAGCCCGTCCCAATCCGAGCCAGGCAGGCCAGGGGGAGGGGACATGGGAGGTTGGCGGCTTGCCCTCCCCCCTCCATTGGGGTGGTGGGGGCCGATTGGGGGTGGAGGCTTGCTGGGGAAAGGGGCCCTGGGCTGTTGGCGGGCCAGCCCCGCCCCTGGTCGAACTCCCAGTCGGGACAATTTGCATATTACCCTTTTATTATATAGGATTCTGTGGAGGGTAAGCATATATCTATATTTTCTCACATGTGCAGGAATTCCTGTGTGATACATTCCTAGCAGCAAATATTTAAGATTGAGGAGTATGCCAATTTTACTTTTGTTTATTTGACTACTTAAAAATTGAAGTTATTTTTTGCATATATAAAACCTTCATATGGTTCATACGTTGTTACCAAAAGCAACCCAACACAGTCCCAGCTCCTTCTGGAAACCACCAATTTCTCGTGTGTGTTTTCTGAGATATGTATAAGCAGTTAAAAGCAAATAGGGAAATATATTCATTTTGTGGCTCTTCTCTCCAGCTCACTCTTTGCAGTTCAGAGAAGGAAGACTTGCTTCTCCTCTGTAGAATGGGGATAAGATTTTCAACCTCATATCTGCGCGTGTGAGGATTCAGGGAGTTCTTATGAAGTGTTTAATTTTTCAAAATACGTTTTTATTGATTTTAGGGAGAGAGGAAGGGAGAGGGAGAGAGAGAGAGAAACATCAATGAGAGAAACAACATCTATCAGTTGCCTCCTGTACGCCCCCTACTCGGGATCCAGCCCGAAACCTGAGCACGTGTCGTGTGCCCTGACCGGGACTTGAACCTGTGACCTCTTGGTGCGTGGGACAGTGCTCAATCCACTGAGCAACACTGGCCAGGCTTACTTTTTATTTAAGATTTATTGATTGATTTTTAGAGAGGGAGAAAGAGAGAAACATGGATTTGTTGTGCACTCATTCATGCATTGTATGTGCCCTGATGGGAGGTTGAACCTGCACCTTCTTGGCATATTGAGATGACACTCTAACCACTTGAGCTACCCCACCAGAGCCTACTTAATTTTCTTAGTCCTCATCTGAAGATCTGTTTTTATGGATTTTTTTTTAGAGAGAGGAAGGGGGAAGAGAGAAAAAAACATTGATTGGTTGCTTCACATATGTGTCCCAACAGGGATCGAACCCACAACCTAGATATGTATGTGCCCTGACCAGGAGTTGCAACCTTTTGGTTTATGGGACGATGCTCCAATGAATTGAGCCACCTGCCCAGGGCTAATTTTTTTATTATTTTTTGGTAGATATAGTGGAAGGGAGGGGCAGGGGGGAGAGAAAGACTCATGGATTGGTTGCCTCCCCACGTGCCCTGACTGGGAATCAAACCGTGACCTCTTGGTTCATGGGTAGATGTTCAACCACTGAGCCACACCAGCCGGGCTGGGGTGCTGAGATTTTAAACTGAAAACCGCCAAACTGCCCCTCTCCAAAGTACATCTGGTCTACCCACCCACTCCTCCCAGCGCACAGAAGGAAGAGTCCCGGCCGGACACCTTACCTCTGAAGGTAAGGAGAAAGGCTTGGGTTGGGGAGGTCGGCTTTACAACCTGAGAGCCTTTGGGACAGTGTACGCTGGCGGGCAGGTGGCCGAGAGGCAGACGTGAGAGATGCTACAGCGACAAGGATGGGAGGGTCCTGGCCCCGAGTTGATGGCCGTGAGTGGGCTTCTGGCAGGAGGGAGAGAAAAGTGAGGTGATGGCAAGTGGGGGCCAAGGGCTTCTGCTGAGAATATGAAGTCAGTCTTGAGACTTTCCCCTTGGCCTTTGCTCGAACCGTGACCTCAGATTCTTGCCTCTCAGTCCTTGGTTTCCCTCTGAAGGGTGGGGGTAAGATTGTCAACCTCATATCCTCATGTGTGAGGATTCAGTGAGTTCTTATTGTTTAAGAAATAATAACGATCATTGCTTTCCCACGAATGTTTTAAAATTAAGTGGTACAGCCCGGGCCACTATGGCTCGGTTGGAGCATCGTCACGTACACCGAAAGGTGGCGGCTTCCATTCCCGGTCATGGCCACATACACATGCGCCCTGACTGGGAATCGAACTGCGACCTCTTGGTTCCTGGGTAGACGTTCAACGATTCGATCCCTGGTCAGGGCGCATGTGGGAGGCAGCAAATGGATATTTATCTCACACATTGATGTTTCTCTCCCCCTCTTCCTTCTTTTCTCTCTTAAAAAAATTTTAAAAAGCATGTCCTTGGGTGAGGACTTAGAAAGGTCAGTGACGCAGGCTGGCTTCAACACCAGCAACCAGCCTGGCCCGTTCTGGTGTGTGTGGCTGAGGGTACCAGGCCGTTGTTCTGGGGAGCCTTGAGTAGAGTGGAGGAGGGTGAACCCGTCTCCGGGAGGTACTCGGGAACCTTACAGAGTAACAGGAAGCAGCAGCAGGGGCCCAGTTGACACGGGAGGTCATATTTGCAGTTCATTTGTTTGGGAAATATTGACTGGGAGCCTGATGGGGTTTGGGGCTGTGACAGAGGAGGTCAGTGTGGTTCCTGCCTCCTGGGAGGAGGAAGTGGCCAGACAGCTCACCTTGCAGACTCAGTTCTCAGACCTGCAGGCAACACCTGAATGGGACCTTGAAGGACCCTTGTGAGAATTAGTGAGAACTCGCAGTTTCATGCTCAGTAAATAGTACAGATTATTCTCTGATAGTTACAGCTAGAGGAAGGGCACACCAGATAGAGGGTACAGTGTAGGCAAGGCCTGATGGCCACAGGCCAGGGGCACATTGTGGATAAATAGGTTAAAGCGGCCTGTGTGTGTGTGTGTGTGTGTGTGTGTGTGTGGTCACATCAGACTGTTTGTTAACAAATCTGTAAATCTCAGCGGCTTAAAGGATTGTCTCCCTTCTCCCCACCCCCACCATGACAGCCTGTCAGGCTGGGTCTCATGCTCTCACCCGGTCACCAGCTTCCCTATTTGGGCGTCCTTAACTCTCCACCAAGGCCCAGCGCACACTGGCTCTTACCTGTCTGGGACCGGAAGTGATGCTCGTGATGTGACGCTCACGCTTATGCCCCCACAGTGAGGATCCCATGGTCCCAGCCGAGCACAGGGTCAGCGGGGACACGGTCTCCTGGTGCACGAACACTCCCCAGCCCCTCTGGAGGCGTAGTAGACGCTTAGACCTCAGAGCCCTGTGCTGGGCTCCGGGATGGAGCCGTGAACAAGCTGGACGTGGTCCTGGTCCTTCCCAAGCTCCCAGCCATGCTTAGTGACGCCCACTTAGTGATGAGGAAGTTTAAGGAAGAATATGTAGCTTTTGGAGAGCGCGCATCAGCCAAACCTCAGACCAGCGGTCGCCAACCTGTGGTCCGCGGACCGCTGGTGGTCTGTGAGGTCCGAAAGGTTGGCGGCGACTGTTTTAGACATGATTTTGTAATTGAAGAAAACAAAACGGGAAACCTAAGACATGGGTAGCCTTTTCCCCACTTGTGTCCATGTTGTCTTCATGTTCTTGTCTATGTCACATACACACCCAACCTACACGTACTCCGTTAGCCCTTCTAGTGAACTCAGACTCTAGTTGATTTGATTCAACAAAAGTTGGCCAAAGGGGATTACTTGAGAAGGACATACCTGTGTCAGGGTAGGCTGGGTTATGTTCCAAAAACAACTCCCAAATTGCAACTTGCAGTGGCTCGAAATCGCAAAGGTGGGTTTTCTCACCCTTGCTAGGTAGAGATCTCACTCGGGCTGAAAGATCTCAAATAACGCCAAGGACTAAAGGCTCCAGACTGGATTCACAGGTCACTTTTGCTGAGATCTCACTGGCCAGAATCAATCCCGTGACCCCACACAACCATAATGGCCCCAGGAAGTGGAATCCTTTCCATGTGACTAAGAACATTCAACAGACACCTCTAGGGAGGACCAAGACCTTTTCTTTTAAGTATTGGTTTCCCAGTTACCATACAGCATCTTGTGTACACTGTACCCACAAATCACAACGAGTCATCATTTCCACAGGTTTTGGTTTGGTTTGGTTTGGTTTTTGTTGTTTTTTTTAATATTTTTTATTGATTTTTTACAGAATGGAAGAGAGAGAGATAGATAGTTAGAAACATCTTGATGGGAGAGAAACATCGATCAGCTGCCTCCTGCACATCTCCCACTGGGGATGTGCCTGCAACCCAGGTACATGCCCCTGACCGGAATCGAACCTGGGACCCCTCAGTCTGCAGGCCGACGCTCTATCCACTGAGCCAAACCGGTTTCGGCTGGTTTGGTTTTTTTTTAAGTGACCTGAGAACCTAAAGATACTCAGGAGAAGCAAACGGAAGGCTGGGCTTCCTGGGTTTTATGAGCTTTTCTGTTCAATCATTTACAGTTGCTTTGCTTGCAGCGACTGTGGCAGCATTTTTTTTAAAAGCAGCTCACCTTGCCCTGACCGGTTTGGCTCAGTGGATAGAGCGTCGGCCTGCGGACTCGGGGGTCCGGGGTTCGATTCCAGTCAGGGGCATGTACTTTGGTTGCGGGCAGATCCCCAGTGGGGGGTGTGCAGGAGGCAGCTGATCGATGTTTCTCTCTCATCGATGTTTCCGACTCTCTATCCCTCTCCCTTCCCCTCTGTAAAAAATCAATAAAATATATTTAAAAAAAAAAAAAAGCAGCTCACCTTTATCCTTTCCAGTGCAGGCAACCTGGTTTGCATATAAACAGTTCTCCCATTAATATTATACCAGAGGCCCGATGCACGAAATTCGTGCAAGAGTAGTAGGCCTTCCTTCCCGGCTGCTGGTACCGGCTTCCCTCCGGCACCCGGGACCCGGGCTTCCCTCACAGCCCCGGCTTCATCTGGATGGTCGTCCGGAAGGATGTCTGGTCTAATTAGCATATTATGCTTTTATTATTATAGTTTGCCAGGACTAAGTTATTAACTTAGGAACAACTGCCATAAACGGGATTTGGTAACAGCTACTTCTGAGGCAGTGTGCAGCCTGTCTTAGAATAGCCTGCTAACTGGGCACCAGGTTTGCAGATGACATGAACAGTGTCTTTCAAACTGTCGCACTGGGTGAGCAAGCTGGCCCCAGAGAGCTGTGCTGTCGTGTTTCCTGTGGAATTTCAGCCTCCGTTTTCACTCCTCATTCGGACATGCTCTCCTTTTGGTCTTGCTGGAGCGTATCCTGGCCCCCCTTTCTCATGTCTAGGCAGCCCTGGCAGTGCTGTGTGCTGATGGGATCTGAAGGACGGGAAGACAGGGACGAGGTGGAGAGCAGGAAGGACGGTCAGGCTGGAGACGCAGCAGGGGCGCATGATGCTGGGCCTTAGGCCGTGGTGAGGAGTTTGTGTTGAACTCTAAGGGCCTTGGGGAGCCATTGGAGTGCTGGATTAGTGGCATGAGAGACAAGGTTAGAGGTTGTCATTCTGGCAAGAGATCTTCATGGCTTGAACCAAAGAGAATGGTGAGAAATGAGGATTTCGGGAGATCAGGGAGGCGTCTGTCCCTGTGGTCCTTGCTCCTTCCTGCCGCCAGTCGCGGAGTGTCCTGACACGGTGGTTATCGGGGCTCTGGAGGTACATGTTGATATGTAATTTGAAGTCTGGGTTCAGAGATCCCTGTCTCCCCATTTGGCCGCAGTCTAGGACACAGTGCGGGCTCAGGGCTGGGCTCCATTAGCCCTGGGAAATCCTGGGGCAGGTGGCTGCGTGGATGGTGCAAGCAAGGATGGAAATAGGACCCAGAGCAGGGCTGCTTGAAATTTACCGGTCACTCCTCTGTCTCAGGGCCCGACCTCTAAAGGGATGCCTCCACACACGTGATCTTTGTAATCTCATTCACTCTCCCCTCAAAAGCTGAGGACTCCCTGCTTCATCTCCAGACTCCTCTGTCTACATTGCTTAGTCAATGTCTCAAATGCAAGTAGGGATCTCTGCCTCCCGCCTCCGCCTCCCCAACCTGTTCCTCCTGTAGTCAGCTCCCTTTCCCCAAATGACACCTCTGAACAGGCACAAACCTTCGCCCCTCTCTTTTTCTCACTCTCTACACAGTCCTGTGGGCTCCAGCTTGAAAATAAATTGTGAAAATGACCACCTCCACTGCGGCAAGCCTGCCAGCCACCCATCCTGTGTCCTCTCGCCTGGTTTCTTTAAAAAAAATTTTTTTTATTCAATCCTCACTGGAGGACACTTTTTCCATTGATTTTTAGAGAGAGAGAGAGTGGAAGGGAGGGTGGGAGGGGGAGAGAGAGAAACATAGATGTGACAGAGACACAGTGATTGGTTGCTTCCCACAAGGTTCCCAACCGGGGCAGAGATCAAACCTGCAACCCAGATAAGTGCTCTTGCCTGGGAATCCTGGGCATCGAGCCTGCAACCCTTTGGTGCCAACGCTCTAATCACTGAGCAACACTGGCCAGGGCTCGCCGGGATTCTTGCCAGTCCCCTTCCTGTCCTCCTGCTTCCACTCATGCCCTACAATCTTATTTTCAACACAGCAGCCAGAGGGGTCCCTGAAAAAGGCTTTAAATATTTCAAATTATTTTTCAATAGGTGACACATATGTTAAAAATTTCAAATCGTCTGAAATAGTACACGGAGTCTCCTTCCCTCTGCTGTGCCCCCGCCCCCCACTCCCAATTTGCTGCCGTGTCTCCTCAGAGGTGACTATGGATCCCAGCTTCTGTATTGATACTGTGTGCATGACTCTGTGCATTCGATGAACGATTTCTTTAAGATGCGAGACTGTCCTTCCCTTGCCCGAAACCTTTTGGTGGTCCCCCAGCAAAATGAGACTAAAATCCAAATTCCATCCCAAGCTACAGGGACCCTGCTGTGGCACCTGGACCCTCCCAGCTTCCACTGCTGTCCTCCACCCACTGCGCTCCACCCCATTGGCCTCCCTTGTTGGGATTTGTACCCTGTTCCCTTTTCGTAGCACACACTTCTCTGTGCACTTGCTCCATATAACACATCAAGAACTGCGATGATGTGTTCCCCATTGGACCATGGGCTCTGACGTCCTCCCTTGTGCATGGTCTGTCGTCATACTTAGGTTTCCTTTAGATCCCGGGTCGGGCCTTAAGGGAGGCAACTCATCAATGTTTCTCTCACATCCATGTCCCCTCCTTCCCTTCCTCTCTCGCTAAAAACCAATAAACATATCCTCGGGTGAGGGTTAAAAAAAGAAGAAGAAACAGGGAAATTGAAGCAAGAAATCTTACACAACTGCTAAGTGAACATGCAGTCATTTACTTGAATGAAGGAGGGAATCAATGAATGGTCCTGAGAGGCGGGTGCGAGAAGCGGCGCTACCGAGGCGAGAGGGCTGTGGGCGGAGCCTAGGGAGCGGGGCCAATGGGCGCACAGCTGTGGCCCACCGTGTCTCCCCCGGCCCAGGTCCAGCCTTGGCTGCGCGGGGGCCGCTGGGAGTTGTGGTCTCCTGCCGACCTAGCCACGTCACGGCCTTCAAACCTGAAGTCCTCCCCTTGTGGATGGTACGACCCGTATCCCCAAACCTCTAGGCAGGTTCCCCCGCCCGAAGGCCCTTTTTCCTCCCTCTTTTCCTGGAATCTCTTGCAGCCCCCGGGCTTCGCGGGTCCGGGACTCGGGCTAAAATCTCCCGGATCCCGCCCTCACCCCGGAGCCAACTTGGTATCGTCCTCTACGTTTATCTACTCCCCCTCCACCCGTTGGTATGGCCTCCGCCAGGGTCCCCTGAAGTTGTTTCCCACACGTCCTCTCGGGTCCTCCCGCCCTCGCTTGAGGCCCACTGTGCCTTCCAATCGCCTCGCTCCCCGCCCCGCACACCCTCTCCGCTCCCGGAGCCCCCGCCACAGTTTGGTACACGCTGGCCACGCCCCTCTCGGCGCTCTTGGTATGCGCCGCGCTCCCCCCGCTCCCTGCAGTGGTTCGGCCGCGACGACCCCTCTTCGGCGGCGCGGCCCCCGCGCTTGGTACGGCCCATCCCGTTTCCCCGAGAGCCGCCTACTCGCGCCCCTCAGTCGGTGGAGCCCGGACCCTGTGCGGGCCGTGGGATCCGAACAATAAACTCGACCGCGCCCGTAAGATAAGATTACGTCTGAGTCCCAAACCTCCAGAAAGGGGGCCCCTGTGGGCTAC